TATATATTTGGACAGAAGAATGTAAGAGTAGTAAATGCAAAGTTAATTCACGTTGTTTTATGTCTAAGAAGAGTCATTTAGAAGATATATTGCTATTATTAATACTTATATCTGTCAACTCTGTTCCCAAGGTAAGTATACAAAGCCACGAATACACCTGCCGAGCCAATCACGATTTGCCAGAACTCTTCTACTCGATGGTCGCTTTCACTCGCAGTGAAAACTCGTACGAGCTCGATGTAGTTTAATAACCATCGAGAGCTTCCGTGTTCAAAATTTTCCGGCTTTTCTTCTACGTTTTCCTCGCGCCGTCGTCAACAGAAGGAGGAGGCGGAGGGAATCCTTCCAAATGGTACCGTTCGACTCACATGACCGTCGGCCGTTGTTGATCTTTTTGGTCCTCTTAATGAATCATCAATCGGCGATCCGTTCGACCAGACGGTACATCTGCTGCCACTTTTCCCGGTTCTTCGCTGACACTTGCGGACGAGTAAGAGCGTCACGTCACAGGTGAACCCTTCTGGTTCGAAACGCGAGGCACGAAGACGCATCGCGCATCGTGAAACGCGATCAATAGAAAACTTACTGGTTCACGGCTCACAGCTTACGGCGTCTGCGCCAAGGTTTACCGCGATAAGTAGCAATCGTCTCCGAACAAAAGACAGAGATAGTGTAATCAGCAGAGTATGAGTGCATCCGTGTACCACGATGTGTAATTAGCCAATATTGAAATCTGGAGCTAAATTTCTCTTAGAAATTATCATTTAGTACATAGAATTTGTCGATATGTCGATGCTCTCGTGTAAAAATCATACTTGCCTTCAGAACGCTATATCGCGTTCCTTGATATCCGATCAAATAAATGATCAAACAATAAAATTATTAAGTTTTGCTTATACATTAGATTTATGTAGTGCCAGAAACCTTTTCTTTAAAAATCATAAGTATTCAGTGACTTAAAATCATTTAAGACTATTTGCATAGCATTGAAACGTGCTGAGGGGGTATAAAAAGGGATTCAAATATTACCTCTCGGCGGTGGTCTCCTCGGTGGTATCCGCCACGCACACATTTAGTTTCGGATCTCCCCGAAAGAGGCATTGGAGTATCGAATAATACTGAGTCACCCACCTATACATTATTATTATTACTTTTTGTTTATGGTATCGACATCTATCATATTCCTCGATTCTTGTCACCCATCCTGATTCCTTTGGGCATCGTATCACCTTTAGTGCAATTTAGACCAGAAAAATCGAAATACACACACGCGAGTTCGTCGAGTCTGCTATCCGAAAAGCAGCAGATGGATTCTTTTATCTGCAATGCCTAACTAAAACCGTAGTGGGATTTTTGATGTGCCTAGGATGTTCAAAAGGAGTTCGACCACAATGAATTGCTTGGCAATATTGACGATAGTTAGATAAAAAAGGGATTGCCTGGGACGAGTGACAGTGAAACCCGTTGAACCCGTGAAGGTGTACGGGATTTCGTTTCATATAATCGTATGAATTCCGGCGATTCTTGTATCTCTCGAACAACAAATATGTCGTGGAGGGGATCACGTACACCCGTTCCCTACGTTTTTATCGCATAATTCGTTCTACGGACTGCTATTTACGCGAAAAAGTGATCCAGGTGCGTCTAAGCGAGTTCATCCGATTGAATTGAAACAGTGCGAAGTGTCGAGGAACGTTCGGTTGGCCTACAGAAGGCGGCTAGTGTCGCCCGAGGACGAGGAACGATGTCGGGCTCCTTCTCGGTAATTAGAACGATTATTTAATCATGTTCAATCCAGGAGGCGAGGAACCGGAGAAAAGAAGACGAGGCATAATCGTGGGCAGAGTCGGAGTGGAATCGGCGTGAGCGTCGATTTGTAACGGTAGGCGTGTAGGTAACATGTCCAGATAGCGAAGGAAACGCCTAGCTGAGATATGCGACTCTGAGAATCGCGAACAACCTGTTCGCGCCTGGTTCCCTCGAAACTCGGACTCTAATTCGCGTCCCGTGACGAACCGTGCCCGTGTTTGTGTTTGTTCGCGGGTGGGTGGGTGCGTGCGCGCGTGCCCGCATCAAGGATAATCGTTCCTCGGGCAAAAGGAAGTAAGGAACCGAAGGAAACGCCGGAAGGAAGTGAGAGATAGGAGGCAAGATGGCGGGATCCTTAACGTGGTCGTGTACTTGTTGCCTGCGGTGCAAGTTCAGCCCCGAAGAGATCGAGCAACGTTTCAAGAGCCAGGAGATCGACAGGATGCTGGAGAAGGACCGGCAGGCTCTACGGCGGCAGGTGAAGCTCTTGCTGCTCGGTGCGGGAGAGAGCGGAAAGTCGACGTTCCTCAAACAGATGCGGATCATTCACGGGATCAAATTCGAGGTATACATATTGTTTATTTCATTATTATTCCATCGTCGCACCTTGTTTCTTCTTTTATACCACCGTGAATGGTATTCTTGTTCTTGTATCAAACGATTTTGCTACGGACAATGCGGAGAAGTCTGATGTCTCATCAGTATCGAGGAGCTAATGTTTATGTACTTCGTTTTACACAATGCCGGTTCAAATATTGTTTCTTGCAGTTTGTCACCTATTAACATTCTTAACTTATTTATTAGATGATGCTTCAAAACGATGACTAAATACATTTCCTGTCTATTTTCCTCCTGTTATCCTAACTTCCTTCATTACGAATTATCTTGATTTTTCTGTAAAATATTCTTACTTTGAACAGTTGATATTTACTTATCCGAAGACAAACCAGAGATAACTTCTCTGTTTCTCATTATGTCACGTTCGATAGTTTATCTTGTATTAGAGTATAGTATAGTTTCAACAGTAAAGTACGTCTCAATTTTAAAACATCGAAATGTTCTCTCAGTCGATTAACTATTATCGTTGCAAAGCAACTTGCATACTTACTAAAATAATCGTAAAAGGTGATTCGTATGTACGAGAGTCTCAAGTCGAGGCTGTTAAGTTTACATATTCCTTATCAATCCGTTTACTCTTCACTTATCACAATTTTAATCGCTGAATGTATATAGTTCGAGCATCGAGACACGGTAGAACCGCAGACTGCAAAAGCGTGTTCGATTTCTTTGAATAAAGTACTACGAACTTTATAATAAATATCGAAGAATTTAATATGCATAATGAATCTTCAGGAATTTAATAATGTTATCAATAAATACTTGAGGATATAGTACGTTGAATTATTTCAGCCTGAATTAATAAAGGAATACCAGCACGTAATATACCAAAATATAATCAAAGGGATGAAGGTGCTGGTGGACGCCCGCGATAAGCTAAATATTCCCTGGGAATATCCAAAAAACTACGACATCGGCTATCAATTGTTAAAACTCGAGAACACCATGGCGTTGGATGCTAGATTGTTTCTCCACTACGTGCCAGCGTTGCAAAGTTTATGGAAGGATGCCTCGATAAAGAAGGCGTTCGATAGGAGAAGAGAATTTCAATTAGTAAGATTTTAATCGATTCATAAGAAATCTATAAGCATGGATTCTATGATAAACGTCCAGATCATGTGACGTTATCATAACTTATTATCATTATGGTTTTGAGTAATGTTTCTTTTTTTCATTTTGCAGAGTGATTCGGTTCAATATTTCTTGGATAATCTCGACAGGATCGCGAGAGTGGTAATTATCTATTATTTCATTCATTAATAGTTATTCGCGTTTATACAACTGTTTAAGCTTTACGATTTCATTTAAGGAGTACGTACCCACGCACCAAGATATCCTGCACTGTAGGAAAGCCACAAAAGGAATTTCCGAGTTCGTGATACAAATCAATAATATTCCCTTCCTATTTGTCGACGTCGGTGGGCAGAGATCACAAAGACAAAAATGGTACCAATGTTTCGATTGCGTTACGTCCATACTTTTTCTTGTTTCGTCGTCCGAGTTCGATCAAGTGCTTTTAGAAGACAGGTACGTACAATTATTATTCACGCAATTCGTTTAAAATCTCAGTCATGCCGATTAAATGAAATTGTTTCTTGCAGGAGAACGAATCGGTTGGAGGAATCGAGGAACATATTCGACACGATAGTTAACAATATGATATTCGGTGGTGTATCGATCATACTGTTTCTGAACAAAACCGATCTGCTGGACAAGAAAGTAAGATCGCCTGACACGAACGTTCAGTGGTACTTTCCGCAATTCACCGGGGACTCACATTCCATGAAGGATGTGCAGAACTTTATTCTGGATATGTTCATCTCGGTGAAAAGGGACCCGAGGAAGCCGCTCTTCCATCATTTCACCACCGCGGTGGACACAGAGAACATAAAAGTCGTGTTCAACGCTGTTAAGGACACGATTCTGCACAGGAACTTGGAATCGTTGATGCTTCAATAATAATGCCTATTTAGAATGATTTGCAACGGTAGGCGATTCATCCAGAAATTTGGAATCATTGTTATTTCTACTTCCAAGAATAAGAACCGTTACGTCGTCCGTGAACTTGGAATCTTTGATGTCTACAATGATTCTTCGAAAGAAACGTTCGAGTTCTCGTAACCAAGTGAAACGACGGTAGTTGAAGAAAAAGTATTAAAATAGTTAATGAAACGAAGAAAGAACGATTTGCGGTAAGACAATATATTCTATGTATTATATATATATAATATATATTGTATTATTAATGTAAATCAAGATTACCTCCAGGTAAGATTTAATAGTTAAACGTTTTTCATATGATAGTTTTTTATACTAGGAGAAAAACTGCCTAAAATGAAATTGTACTGAATTGAAATTTTTTGAACGTTCTATGAAATTTTTTGAATGCTCTATACACTATATTATACGCGCACATACGTACACATTTAATAATAATATACAGGGGGTTTCGAATTGAGCATCTAAGCTGCTATACTGATTTGTCAACTAGATGTGTCAGTGTGATGCTACGCTGACCGTGGGTAACTATACTGATGTATCAATTTACTTTAATACTAATACTTGTAATAATATATTTCAATATATTAGTATAAGTATAATAATTGAGAACACGTGCATAAGACGGTGTGATACATTAGATGTTCAATTTTCAATTATACCCTGTATTCCTTTTTGATGAATATTGGCTGCTAAAGGGGTTGTAAGAAGACTTATATACAATTTATTGTAAATATATACATTGTCAATACTAATAGTTTTACATATATATTATATATATATTTGTATAAAAGAAGAATCAGTTTTTGCTAATAGCATAAGCAGCTAAGAATTTTTCTATATTTTGTACAGATATTTAATCCAGTGCTTCTCTTTTATATTAAAGAAAGGAAAATACTGATCGAGATATAAAGATAACTTATTTTCTAATTAAGAACGATTATTAATTTCGTTAAGATCGAAATGTTAAGTTAAAGAAAAACCAAATACTAATGCCATACGAACCAAATGAAACTCTTTAATTAACCAGCTTGTGTTCAAATTTCACGCTTTATCTCGATTCGATAAT